AAAAAAAAAAAAAAAAAAAAAAAAAAAAAAAAAAAAAAAAAAAAAAAAAAAGAATAATAATAATGGATTAAGAAGAGAAGATGCAGCAACAACAGCAAGAAAAAGGAGAAAATGCATGCATAGAGGAGAAAATAAAAGAAATAAAAAGAAGAATAAGAATATTAATTCATGAGGCAAAAATATTCAGTAATAATGCAGAAAATAATTTACGTAAACAAAGGAACCAATTAAATAAAATAAAGAAAGAAAATAATAAAATAAGGAAAGAAATAGAGGAAAGAAGAGAATATATAAATATACAACAAAATATATTAATAAATAATATATATATAAATAATATACAAGAAAATATAAATAATATATTAATAAAAATAAAAGAAGAAAAAATAAAGGAAGAAAAAATAAATAAATATATATTTATTATAGAAAAAAAAATACAACAATATAGACAATATATAGGTACACTAGGAGGAATATATTATAATAAAATAACTAATGAATGTATAAATAAACAAATAAATATACTAGAGGGTAGATTAAATAAGGCATTAATTAGATATAATATAGCAATAAATATAAATAAAAAATTAATAGAGGAAATAAATAATTTAAGGAAAGAAAAAAATAATATTAATTATTTATGTATTAAGGCAGAAAATGATTTAATTAATAAAAAAAATATTAATAAACAATTAATTTATTTAGCTAATTATAAATATAATAAAAGGGATAAAATAAAAAAAAAATATATATAATTAAATTAAGGGAAGAAAAAGAAAAAAAATATTTTTATCATGAATGGCAAGACATGCAGCAGATACTGGATACACTGCAGATAAAAAGATGGCAGCAGCAGCAGCAGCATATGCAGCAGCAGCATATGTTACAGCAGCAGCAAATACAGCAGCAGCATATGCAGCAGCAGCAGTTGCTGCAGCAGCAGCATAGTCGTCGTGCTGCTGCATGCGAAGAAGATACACAATTAACTAATAATAATAAACAACAAGAAGAATTATATAATGACTATAATACATCAATAGGTACAGGAGGAGGAGGAGGATCTAGTACTACTACTGCTGCTGCTGCTGCTGCTCCTGCTCCTGCTGCTGCTGCTGCTGCTGCTGCTGTGTCTCTATACGATAATAATACCATTAAGAACTATAAGACTGCACTAGCAAGAATAAAGGCAGCAACTAATGTAGATACACTAGAGGAATTAGTAAAAAGTTTTCGCTATGCAGAGGAATATAATTATTCATTATTTATTTATGTTAATACATTAAGTAAACAAGTTGAGCAGCAAGAAGCAGCAGTGCAGCAGCTGCTGCTGCTGCTGCATGCATGCAAAAAAGAAGAAGAAGAAAAAAAAAAAAAAATAAAAAATATAAATATAATAAAAAAAAAAGAAGAAGAATATATATATAATAATATAAATATATTATTATATAATAATAAAGAAAAAGAAGAAAAAATAAATATAATTAAATATAAATTAAATAAATTATTTATATATATAAAAGGTAAGGAAATATATAAGGATAAGTTATGGGCACAAGAGGAGATAATTAATTCTTCTCTTCTTAATTACCTACAAGCTATTCATGATTATATACATAATCTTATTGATCAATTAATACAATATAAATATACACAGCAGCAGCAGCAGCAGCAGCAGCAGCAGCTGCAGCAGCAGCAGCAGGGGAAACAGCAGCACGGGAAACTGCAGCAGCAGCAGGGGAAGGCTAGGGAGGAAGGGGAGGAAAAAATACAAGAAATAGAGGAAGGAGAAGGAGGAGAAGGAGAAGAAGGAGAAGAAGGAGAAGAAGGAGAAGAAGGAGAAGGAGAAGAAGGAGAAGAAGGAGAAGGAGAAGAAGAAGAAGAAGGAATAAATAATAATACAATAAAGAAGAAGAAAAAAGAAATAAATAATAAACAGCAAGTTGTGCACCAACAACAGCAGCAACAACAGCAGCAACAGCAGCAACAGCAGCAGCAACAACAGCATCAGCATCAGCAAATACTGCATCAACAAATACTGCAGCAGCAACAGCAGCAGCAGCAGCAGCAGCAGCAGCAGCAAAGAAAGACTACACCACAGATAAAAATGCCATCAGCTATACACCGCAGCAGCAGCAAAGAGAGCGAAGAAGAAGAAGAAAAAGATATTCATCCCCTAACTAGGGAAGAAATAAAAAATAAAGTAGAGAAATATAAATATAAATTTACTAATAATAATAATAATAATAATAATTATAATAATAATAATTATAATTATAATTATAATTATAATAATAATATTAATAAAATAATTAATAAAAAATAATTACCTATTTATCTATATATGCATATATATAAATATATATACATACATATATATATATATATATATATATATA